AACAACCCCCATATAATAGCTCCACTGATCATGCTAATATCACTAACAGTATCAAAACTTCACACCCAGAACTCTCCTTTCTCCTCCTCCTCCTCCTCCGAAAAAGAAAAAGAAACATTCTCACATTTCCGCACTGAAGATGATTCAGTGCGGGCTGCAGGTATTGAGTTTTTAAGAACATGATAAAATAAATCTCTTTTAAAAACCATACAGGTGGAAGCATATGCAGACACCAGGGGGAACTCCTAGAATCTACTCTTAGACTTCCTGCAAGCCAGTGGGTCCACTCACTATTTCATAGCAATCTGACAATGATGGCGACAACAACGGCGGCAATAATAATAATAATAATAATAACAGCTCATTGACCCTCCCAAGATGAATCTGAACGGTAGGAAGCCTGTCAGCCTGCACCAGACAGGGTGACCCAAGGCATACCCCACCCTCTCCTCTCTCAAAAGGAAGTTAAACTCTCTGGTCTTTGCGAGCCTAGAAGGTACTGCTGTTTCAGCAGGGCCTCAGGCAGCTTTTGTCAGCCTCTCCAAACCCTAAATAAGTTCTCTTTATGCAAAAATCAGGGGGGAGGGGGGAAAGTTCCAGCTGTAAAATGCAAACTTCCAGGTAACACCTAACTACCAACATTTCAAACCACCTGGGAAAAAGCAAGAGACTGCAGTTCATCTGGTGACAAAGTGTGTCAAACACACGCGGGCCCTCCCAGGTCTGCACACCGTCTGTCCCAACAGCCCTGGAGCCTTCATCCCGTGTCTAATCAAATCCTGGAGAACTTTTAGAGTGAAGACCTAGCCTCTTCGCCCAGATACACTATTTTAATCTAAAAAAAAATTTTTTTTGTGTGTGTCAATACAGTTAGGTTCAAAACGGGCTCTTATGGAGCTGCCCCACTATGTTTTTCTAAGTGTTCTTTAAACCCACCACTTAAAGCTACACACACACTGTGCAGAACTAAGGCAGCAGCCTAGGAAGGTTAAATCAAACTTCGACCTGCCTCTTGGAGGATTGGGGGGGGGGTGCGGGGGGCGTATTTTCATCATCATAACCCATGCAACCCACCCCGGGTAATGCCAAGCGCAGGAAAAGGGTCAGCTTCAGGGGGAAGCCGCGCCTGAAGTTAGCTAACAATACAAACCCGATACAATGCGGAGGAAACAGAACACCCCAGCCAAGCAATTTCCATGTCAAACATCATCCGCGCGGCAGCTCGGTCTGTGATCGTGAGTGGTCGCCTGAGTCCCGGCTCCGCTGCCGCCGCCTCCTCATACCTTCACACGGAGCACCTTGGCCAGCGCGTCCCGCTCCCCGCCGGTGGTCCAGGCTCTTCCCAGGCTGGAGCTGGAAGTGATTACCATTGGCCAAGGTGTCCATGTAAATAGGTGTGAAAGAAACCGGAGCTGGCCAGGCTCTCCCCCTCGAGCTCAATCCCCTCCCTCCGCAGCCCCCGCTCCCCCTCCTCTTCCTCCTCCTCCCAAGGCGATTGTCATATGATAGCTAAGAAGTGGCACATTAATGAAGCGCCGCTACAGGGGTCTTTTCTGCTCCTGTCACCGCTTAAAACTATCAGATGGTTTGAGGGAGGACATGGAGGCAGCCACCTAGCTCAGCGGAGCCGCGGAGCCCACAGCAGCGCCCTCCGGAGCCCCGACGC